GAGAGCCCCTTGTGTGAGAACGACTCAGACTGCTTCCACCCATGATGCACTTGCAATCAACAGGCTCCTGCAGTTAGCGAAACGTGGCCACGTGCTCAACGTCAGCATGGATAATCGCAGAGCAAGGCCACAGAGAGCCGGTGGCCAAAGACCAGCTTCCACAAGACCAGGGGCTGGTGAGGAGGCGCACCGGAAACTTGACCGCACACTCGAGGCTGTCCTGCTTCCAGCCCCGAGGCTGAGATGCAGCTCTTGGATTTAATTTTGCAAATCCATCATCTGACTCAACCAGAGGCGGCCGACCCCTGGCTGACCCCTGGCCGGCCCCTGGCTGACCCCTGGCCGGCCCGAGGACAGCCGAGGCGCTGCAGGGGGTGGTTTCTTTTTTTTTTAAATATATTTTATTGATTTTTTTACAGAGAGGAAGGGAGAGGGATAGAGAGTTAGAAACATCAATGAGAGAGAAACATCAATCAGCTGCCTCCTGCACACTCCCTACTGGGGATGTGCCTGCAACCAAGGTACATGCCCTTGACTGGAATCGAACCTGGGACCCTTGAGTCCGCAGGCCAACGCTCTATCCACTGAGCCAAACCGGTTAGGGCAGGGGGTGGTTTCTGTCGGTCCCCGGCAACGGGTCAAAAATGCAGCTTGTGTCAGGACTCCGGACAGTAAGAAATGTTTGGGGGGCAAAAGAAGGTTCCATCACTGTGTTACCACATTGCTGTAATAGCTGCATTTCGTCTGAAATCCCCTCGTAGAGAAAAAAATAGGTACAAGTTCGGTAGAGGAAGACCCGGAGAAAAAATAAATGTAATATTCACCATGCAACCAACTTCCAAGAGGAACGCAGCCTCGTGAGCACAGCCGAGAGCCACGCGAGCACGGCTTGGACGAGGCTTCCGCAGAACGCAGACGCCGCTGATCACGATGGAAACTCGCTGACGATCCAACCTGAAGGTGTTCAGTGCGTGTCGCCAAACTGCTTTTGCAGAAATCACTTTAGTTACGGCTTCAAAGTTAAAATCTCCACAGGTTTCCATGCGGGTCTCAGCAGAGAACTTGTTTGGAAAGCTCAGGAGATAGGATTTACACCCACATCGCCCCACCTTCTGTGAAGTGAGGCCCGAAGGCAAGGAAGGTGAGGGGCGGTTTGGGATCTGCCGAGCCCCTGGCACTTCCTAGTGTCTGGCTTCCTCCCCTTCTGAGGCTCTACCGCTGCAGGCCACTCGGTGGTCAAGTGATTTGGCTTCTGCGTGTGGTGCTCCAAGTTCTCCAGGGCCGAGTCAGGGCAGGAGGCTTCTCTCCATGAGGGTCAAGTCCATAAGGGAAAGGGAAGAGGAAGTGACAGCTCGCACCTTCCTCCACTCCCAGGCCCTCTCGTCTCCGTCTCAGAGGAGCGGCTGGAACTGCGGCTGCCTGACCTCTGCACACCTGCTGCGAGGGCGGCCACTGACGCTGCGAAGGCGGTGCGAGCTCCAGGGCAGGGCAGCCAGCACTGCACTGTCATGTCTCGGGCCGTGTCCTACTAGGTGGGTTTTTAAAGGGAAGTTTGTTTTCTGGTTCCAAGATGAGAGAAAGCCTGAGCAGGAAGTCAATGTCATGTCAGCAGATACTGGTTTATGAAACTGAATATAAAACTAAATTCTGGCTAAACTGTTAAACTGATATATGTGTGTGTGTGTGTGTGTGTGTGTGTGTGTATCCCCCCAAAATGTACACACATTTCAACAGCTGCTAGCTCATGTTTCTTTTCAGATTTAACCCATTGGAATGAATAAATTATTTCAAGTGTGTATACATTTTTTTGAGACAACTTGTATGTATGTATGAAACCTATTAAGTCTCATTAAAAAGCTAGCAGACTTGTAATATGTAAGCCTTTAAAAGATTTTGGCCGATTTAAAACCATATTATAACAATGTCAAGTCATTAGAATATACCAACTGCATAGGGACTACCCCGTGGAATGTGTTTCAATGGAAAAAATCTTTTATTTCATTCTTAAAATGCCTACTAACTAGCCCCGGCCAGGGTGGCTCAGTTGGCTAGGCATGTTCCATGCACTGAAAGGTTGCCAGTTCAATTCCCGGTCAGGGCACATGCCCGGGTTGTGGGCTTGATTCATGTGACACGTAGGTTTCTTCAAAGAAAAACTGGACTTTTGATTCCAATTCCCAATCAAGAAGTTTACGCACACGTTGTCATCCCTGCATAACACGCGACAGGCGTGTCCCCCAAAAATTAAAGATGGCCTTACAAGTAAAGATGGACCCACACCAAGAGCCATGGAGACGGGCTCTGGTCCTGTCACTTGGTCCTGTTGTTGGTTACTGATGCCATTTGTCACTTGGAAAAATCAAACCTCGGCGTAACAGCTCACCGCGGTCATCAAGCACCTCGGAGCAGGTTTTCAATCCAGTATCACAGGACCTTTGGGATTTAAAGACAGAGGTCAGCTCCACCCAACATCCGTCCATCTGTCCTGGGCAGCGGGGTCAGGGCTCAGTGCGGACCGGGCGAAGCCGCGGTGGCCTCCTGCTTGCCATGCTTGCGGTCAATCCACCTCCGGCGGTTTCCTCATCGGTAAGATGGGACAAGGACACGACGTGCAGGTGCTGCCTACGTGCTGGATGCGAAACAGCCAACCGCCGAGTGCCGTTCCAGGGCTGCACACGCGGTGTGAGCGCTCGAAGCCCAGCCAGCACGTGACGCCGCTGCCAGCAAGTGTCTGAGCTCCGTGGCGTCTTCCCGTTACTGCACTGGCCCCCAGCACCCCACGAGGTCCCCAGGAGTCTGACTCGTGGCCCAACCAGGAGTGGTGGTCACGCCTTGGAGCTGGGCCGACCACTGGCTTCAGCGGGGAACCTTCTGGGGCTCCCTGCGTGAGAACGGGGGGACCCTGCCTCCTGCACGTGCTGAACTAGCTCATCCCCCGCCCCAGGGAGCTACGTCAGGACCGTTTCTCCCAAGAACCGAGTTCCAGTGTTCAGACCCCAGATGACCAGGAGAGAACGGTCACTGCAGAGCCACCTGGGACCCAAGCTCGGGCCTGCCATCAGCCTCCCAACACCCCTCGGCGCCTGGAGCCCTGGGTCACGTGGGCTCACTCCAGGGCTCGGCTCGGCTCCCGCTCTGGCCGGCCCTGCGACCCTGCTTCAGACGCTGCTTCGGAACTCGAAATTGTGCAGAGCGGGGCACCGCTGAACACAAGCCGGGCAGCAGAGAACGCCAGAATGTTCAAACTCAACCCCATCCAACGTCTTCAGGGTGGGGAGGGGGTGACAAGGACGGGGGAGAGGGAGATTCGCAGCCAGACTCCGACCCCTGACCCCAGTGGTGCAGAATGGCTGGCGATTGCACCCTGACCCAGTTGTGTACTGGAACTTGGAGACGTCAGTGAGGTAGGTGGTATCAGCCCCATTTTACAGGTGGGCAAACTGAGGCAGAACTTCAGACCCAGCCACGAAGCAACAGAGACCGGCGACCGCTCCCAGGGAGCTGGCCAGGCCTCCTGCTGAGGGCTCGGCTTTGAGAAGGGCACGTGCGTCCTCACAGGCGGAGATCCTGGCTGGCACCAGGCCATAGGCAAGCCCGGGGCTCCTGTGCCACCCACACCTGACCATAGCGGCCGCATAGAAGCCAATGCCCCTTCGCCTCAGTGCGTTGGTCTGAGAAATGGGACCAGCACACTCAGGCAAGGGAGGTAACCTCTGGAAAACCAGAGATGAAACCCCAGCCCCTCCCAGCCCAAGGAGCATGAGCCCTCCTAGGAGCCTGCCGACCCCACCCACCCCGTCCCTCCCGTCTGGCCCGAGCCCTCCCATCCTCAGTCCACGTTCTGGGCTCAGCGCCGAGGCCTGGAGCGGGATGTCTCCCGGTTGGACGTGCGCGGGCGGTGCTCTTTGGCTGGAAGCGAAGGCCATTCTGGCAGGATCAGGGCCTGTCTGCTGAGCTCGAGGCCTTCCTGGAACCGGGTGTGGGGTGACAGGTTCCCGCCCAGGGCCACACCATCCGACAGCTGTGCTCCCATCTCCCCAGGGCGCCCCCTTTAGGACCACGCTAGGGAGGACAGACATGTCGGGACCAACGCGGACGCTGAGGTTCATTGGCACGGAACTGCACAATCGTAAACGCTTCGTGAAGAGGTGCGGACAGTGGGCACGCGGGGTGCCCCAGCTGGGCGGTCCTGCCTGCTGTCGAGCGGGACGAGCACCTGGGGTCGGCGGGTCCGGACACTGGACGCTGCTGCTCCTTCGCTCTCTCGATGGCCTCCTGGCGTCTGTGGTTGTCTTTGGGTGCAGACGGCTCTCCAGAGACGGGCTGGAGCGATGGGGATGGGCGCAGGGCAGGAGCAGAGCCAGCGGGGGAGGAGGAAGAGGCACTTCAGTTTGGGCTGGTGTTCATGGAGTCGGCCCTGGCCCAGGGTGGAGTGGCCCGCCTGGCTCCGGCTCCGGCTCCGGCGCTGGGCTGTCACAGAGACCCCGGTGGCGGTGGACAGGTAGGCACTTGGCAGTACTTCCAGGGCCGGGCCGGGGGCTCCGTGTGGGCTCCGCGCACGGCTAGGTCATCAGGATGGGCTTCTGCCGAACTTCCAGGATGTCTGGGGGGAGGTGAGGAAGGACAGGACGAGGAGGTCAGGACGCAAGGCTCTGCCACGCAATTCCCAGGATTCCCTCTCCCAGCCTCGCAGGCTGCAGTGCTGGAGGCCCCGTGGCACGGACAGGGACTCGGGGTGGAGCCAGGCCCCCTCAGTGGGACAGGGCCGCCTCTCCCAGAGGCCCCGCAGCAAGTGTGACCAGGGCCTGACTGGGAATGATGGGACAGGGTTGGTCACCCCTGAACTGGCCTCAGGAACCTGGGGCCCGGGAGTCAGGTTGGCTACAAAGCAGTGACGCCCGTTTTCCACGGCAGACGCTACCTGTTAAGATCCGATGCAGCGGCAAGGTGACGTAGGTTAAGTGTGCATAGAGAAGGAAGTTTCCATCCGCTCTGTTCAGCTTCAGCCAGGACCCGACCAGGGACCGCCCCGTGCCAGACAGGGACCGGGACCGCAGGTTGGTGGCGTTGTGCAGGTCAGCTGGAGGGCAGGAGGCTGGGTCAGGGGTGACTCCTTCCCCCCCCACTGTGCCCCCTGCGGGCGCTTTATTACCCTGGCCTGCGACCTCTGCCCCTGCCTGCCCTCTGCCCACCCATCTGTCAGG